CTTATGAAGAATTTTAGAGCTCAAGAACTCATGTTAGATTTAAAGAAACTGCTGAAAATTCACTTCTATGTTTTACTGCAAATTAAGGGTTTTGGAATTCTGCACACTCTACATAATCTTAAAAAATGGGGCTTGGGTTCCTGAGCAACTTGGCCATTTCTGAAAATTTTACCCATGACCATTGTTAATTCCCCTAAACATTAAACTGCAGAAACCACTCCCAAAACCAAGTCTGGGAAACAAATCTGCAGTCGCTCAGGGAAGCTCAATACTTAGCCTATTGAGTCACCACAGTGACCACAGAACGGATGGATTATATGGTTCTAATAGGTCAGACACCACTGTTTTTTCCTTTACAATCACACACCCTAAAACAACTAAGAAGTAGTTAAGTCAGATACGCGTGCCCACTCTCTGCTTATTTTGAAAAGTCGTCACCTCTTCTCCAGATGCATATTGTTATATTTGCACCTGACCTTGAGCTGCTACTCTTCAGTCAAGGCCAGGGATTGGCACATGCAAGCATACAGTCTGCCAGGATGAGATGTATTTCTCTAAACACAGCTTTGTCACTCCTCTATCATACTAGCAGTTACATTTTTTAAGACAATAACAATCTCAAATACACAAGATTCATAATGTGCTGAGCACTCTGCAATGGGCCATGGAGGTTACTGTTAAAATACACTCACAGAAGGAAAAAAAAAGCATTTTCTTCCTCCTACTGACTTTTCTGAGCACATGGAAATTTTTTTTTCCCCACTATCACATTTCTCATAGGACAATCTGTTACTGGGCCTCCCCTGAAAATCATTCTGTAGAAAATAGGATGGAAGATAAGTGTGAAACTGTGAATACAGCATGCGATAAGTAACACTCCAGCCCTCAAACACCATCTACATTACTTCTGCTCTGCTCCTCACTTCATGTTTTCCTTTCTTTATAACTGAGCATTAACACCTGTTGAGTGGCTTCACCACACCTCTTGCTCTGTTTCTCCAAGAAAATAAAGGTGATGGATGACATGAAGTTCTGGCCATAACGCAGTCAGTAGGATTTTTTGTTTAGACCTTTTTGAGCCAGGATTTTTCACCAGTTTGCAGTGATGTCATATTCAAATCTAAACCATTAGAAGCTACCTTAAAAAGAAATGCTTTTGCCCCAACAGCAAATCATGCTGATGACTGTTACCTATTTTGTGAAGTGTCCTGAGTTGGTGGCCAACAGAGGATTGAATAAGAGTGAAGAAGGTTTAATATCCAGAGAGCACAAAAGGAAGTAACTCCATATAATAGGCAATAAAGGATTAAAAAACACATCCTGTGTTTAACAGATAACATGAATGCATCTTTCTCTTAAGAGCTCTAGGGAACTGTTTCAAGTGTTCTCCTTTCACGTTATACAATAACCCTACTGGCACGACCGCTTCCAAACAGGAAATGGTGCAAACTACTCAATGAAAACTAGTCTGTTTTCTTTTCTCCTCTCCTGCTATCAGCTGAACACTACACAAAACCACAACATTGTCCCTGCCCTCCTTGTCTATTCTCAAAAATTTGATCCTGAAGGGGAAAAAAGCAGCAGGGTAAGGCACACTGGAGAAAACATAAGAAGTAGAGTGTAGATAAGGCTGGGTCTGTGAAAGAAGTGAAAAAGAAAGTTTAGTAATTACTCCAACTGGAACAGGTTCTCCTCTAAAAAGCTCAGCCTAGGATCGCTACTGGAAGTTTTTACACTCTAAACCAGAATATCAGCAGCCAACTGTATGATCCAAAGAAACACCCACTTGACAAACTGGCTGAAACTACCATCAAAGACCTCTTTAATGAACTGGCTCTGCTTTGTCATCTGGCAAGTGAGGTGTGTGCTCAGGTGGCAGCTGGCCCATTGCATCTGGACAATGGGAAGCCAACGTGGTCACTGCATCTCGGGTGCTCTTCATGACTAACGAGCAAAGAAGTGATGTTAACGAAGCAACACTTGGATGTTTACCTTATGGCTACTTTTCTGAGGTTGATGTAGGTATGTTTTACTGGGTTGATATAGATATGAAGACACCATATAGCAAATGACATGAATTTGAAACATATATCTACAATAAAACCTGAAAGTTTCATACTTCCCTGCAGTTACGAGCCTACAAGCCATTCCACACAGGCAAATCTTTGTGTCCCTGATTAACCTCAGTCAATAACTCAAACAGGGCTGCATCTGATTAATGTTCACATTCACAATCTTCAGAAAACGCTTTGTAGAAAAATGTAGTTGTTGGCCAACCCTGATTGCTGCACAAAAGTTGCATCTGATAGGAGTAAAATGTGAGAATTTAAACCAAGATTTCCTTAGAGACCAGGATTATTTTTCTTGTTGATTTTGTAGTCTATACCTCAGCGTAATTACCCCTTTTTTTGTCAAGGTCAAAGCAGAGTGGGGGAGAGGTTATTATTCAAGACAGGATACATCTCTGTGCCTCTAATTTCTGAAGGCTTCAGTTTATGACTCATTGTGTCCACAGTGAAACGAAGATGTGATCACAATTCCAGACCCAATCCAACACACACTGAAATCAATGGTAGACTTTCCGTTGGCTTCAATGGAAGCCCTGGAAGGGTCATGCCCTGAGCAGACACTAGCTGCACACATAACAAAACCCCTCTCCTGTTTTGGATGGCAGAAAACACAGTCAGCATGGAAACACTGGGGATCTCTGAGGTCAGAAACTGTCTACAACAAAAAACTAATACAGGAAAAAACAACAGAGGAATGCTTCAAGTGCATCTTACTGCACTCTGCCTCTTTCTAGTCCTATCAGCCCAGAAAAAACTGAATCCAGAGCAAATATTTATCAAAAATGTAAAAAGGTAAGATCTTGGCAAGAAATAAAATCTGGCTCAGAGTAGAAAATGTAGAATAATTATTCAATCTTAAAATAAATTTTTCAAATAAAAGCTTGAAGAAATTAATTCAGTACAATTTAGAATCTAGAAATGACTTGCATTGGACTTTGTAGCTCAGTTTCATGTTTGTCAAACATGAAGGTCAACCTAGGACTTGTAGAAGAAGGGGACCATGAGCACCCCTTGGCCAGCGTCAGACTCTATGTCATATTTTAGCAGAACACCAGCAAACATCTCTATGTTGTTTTTAACATTCTTCATATGGTTCCTATATGAAAACAGTGATAAAAAATGATGAGGGAAAGACGAGCTTGAAAATGAAGCATATAAAACAGTTTTAAGAGTGACAAGGGATTTGTAGAGAAAGGATCACAGAAGAGCACTTGAAAAGGGTAAAACAATTACTATGTGATGTTGGTAAGAAACCGACTGTCAGGAAAAAAAGGCAGCAGCAAAAAAGAATATTGATCTTTCAGTGGCAGAGATCATTTAGTTTGGATGATACAGCATTTGTAGGCCCATCTTTACTTTGGCTTACACATCCCTGGAACTGATGGACTATTATTTGAATAATTTGTAGGTGGGAGAGGCGGAGGTACAGGCAGACTGGCTACTCTCACACTGGCAGGCATGTCTTGACATGTTGTCTGAAAGTCACTGACCCTCGGTAGGCAGAAATGCCTCACTCAGGAAGGCCTCTCTGGTCTGATTATTAGTTCTACCCAACCTGAGCTTGGTAGGTTGAGGAGAAAAAAAAGAGGTTCTTCTTCAGTTAGCTTTTTTCTACGCTTGTTTATCAGCAAAATAAGAAATGCACAATGACACAGGGATTTGGGGGGATTACTTGTGGTCTTAATAGATACATCCTGTATAAATGAAGAACAATGAGGTCCTGTAGGGCTGTGTGGTGTGAATGAATACACTGTATCACAGATAGCAGATGCATCCTGACACCTTGGCACTCAAGGACCAAGAGTGTCCAGAGAACTTGCCAGTTACTGAGCTAGAATCTTTCCCCTCCCCCTGTGACATTATTCACGTTTGAGTATAATCTCTTCATTCTACCTCCTGATACGTGTTATACTTCATATTTTGGGCTTCATTTTTGGTTTTGCTGCCCATTCCACTTAAAAGACAAAATAGCTGGGAGGGGGGGATATCTCTGAAGGTAAAAAGCTGACACTTGATCATAAATCTCTTTATGTACAGAGGACGCATTTAAGTCATGTTGGTGACAGATTTTCTACCGCCAGTTATTCCCAGTACGCAGGTGCCTCCCCTCCGGCGTTCCCCGCGCTCCCCCGTCTCACGCAGCGGAGGTGCCGCCCGCAACGCTGGGTACCCAGGGAGATCCCCTCCCTCCCGGCTCCACATCACCCCACACCCCCGGGAACCGCCTCCGGGCTCTGTGCCGACCATCCCCGCCCAGCCGGGCCGCCTCGGCCCGGCCCGGCCGCAAGGTCCCGGCGCCGCCACCTACTTCTTGCAGGGGATGAGCGCCTTCTTCTCCTCCAGGATGCGGAGGCGCTGGTTGGGGCCATCGTAGGAGACGGCGGCCCGCGTGTTGCGGCCCGAGCCGTGCTCGTAGAACACGGTGCGCCCTTCCCACTGCCGCGGCGCCTGGCACGGCTTGGCCCCCGCCGCCGCCGCCGCGCCACCCCGCAGCAGGAGGACGCTCAGCAGCAGCAGCAGCAACAGCAGCGGCCCCGGCCCCGGCCCCGGCCGCAGCTGCCGCCCGCCCGCCGCCCGCGCCATGCTCCGCGCTCCGCTCCGCACTCGGCCGCCCCGCACGGCGCGCAGGCGGGCGGGCAGGCTGTGCCGGGGGGGCGGGGGCGGCCCGCCTCCAAACCCGCATCACCTCGGCGGAGACAGGAGGCTGCTGCGCCAGCTGCCGGGTACAAGCGCAGGAGGAGGCAGCGGGGCGACAGGAGACGGGGTAACCGGACCCCTCGCCCGCCCACGCCTCCCTCCCCGCACCCGGCAGGGTCTGCGCACCCTGGCTGTGCCCACTGGGGGGTGCCCAGAGGGGCAGCTGCGAGGCCCAAGCACCGGGCATTCTGTGCGGGCTTGGAGAGGGGGGGGGATGCACGAACAAGTGGGACCTGCTGGATCAAACTGCTTTAATGTTGTCTTCAACGGGGGAATTTCAAATGCTCCGCACGGGCAGCCAAGTGTCGCAAAGCACATGCATTCCTTCACCTCCCACTGCCCTCTTAGGTTTATCAGCTGTTGTTTTCTGCCCGATCTGGATGCGCTTTCCTCGCCCCCAAAGGGAGGGGGAAGACTGTGCTCCACAGATGCTCCATCTCTCTAGCTCTGTTGCGTCTGCAAGGGGGAACACCGGTAGCACCACTGTACCTGGCCAGGGCAGGCCCGGGAGCTACTAGCTCTGAGCTGTGCTGGGACGCTCCCAGGCCACTGCGATAATCTGGTATGGAGTTAATCTTGTTTTCTCGGCAGGTCCCTCAAAGACTGAGTAGCAGCATTTCCCCACAAGTGAAGAAAGGGCCCGTAGGTCTTTCCGTGCACGGGGTGGGGTGGGAGGTAGCCCCATGCCCCCGCGCGGGCACGCCACTGCGCTGCACCAGGGGCGCGTGGCCGTGGAGTACTAAGGAAAAAAAAATTAAAAACCACTTGGGAAAAGCCTGAAACCCCTTCTTCCACTCGAGTGCAGATGCGAATGGTGGGGGACAGAGGCGGGGGGAGCGGAGCGCTGGGCTGACGGCCCCACGCTGCCCCGGCCCCGCCGCCCGCTCCCGGCTCGACCGCCGCCTCTTCCCCTGTCCCGAGCAAACCGGGCAAGGAGCTACTACCCCGTCTGTCCGCCCGTCCGCTTCACTCCTTTCCCCGCCCGTGCCGAGCTCACAGAGGGAACTCTACAATTTCCTGGAGGCGCCGGGAACAGCCGCCGAGCTTCCTCAAGCCCGCAAAAAGTTTCTTCTCCCTTGAGAAAAGGCGGCGTAAAGTTCAGCCCCGCGGGAGGGAGCTGAGGTCGCTACCGTCGCTTTCCCTCTCCCCGCTCCGGAGCGCAGGGCCCCGCGGCAGAACCGTGTGGTTTGGGTTTCCGTCCCCTCCGCCCCTCCTTCCACCTGAAGACATTTATGACACAGATGAAAACTGAAACGGAGCTGGAGCCGCGGCCGAGAGACGCAGTGATGTCGCCGGGGGATTAAACGGGGTGGAGGTGATGTCACCGTGCCTGCACAGCAAAACGCACACGCACACGCACACCCCCTCCGGAGGAGCGGGGCTGCCAAGGGAGCGCGATCGGCCCCACGTCACTCGTGCCACCGGTATAAATGCGGTCCCGCGATGTCCATGGCTGTCGGCGCGGCGGCTCCCGCGACTTGACTGCAGCCGGGCACCGGGAGACAGCGCCGCTCCGCGCCCTTCGGTCGCCGGGACCCGCGGGGCGGCGGCGGGCGGCGGCGGAGAGGGACAAGGAGGAGGAGGAGGAGGAAGAGGAGAAGGATGCTGCGCGCCTTGGTGGCAGTGTCCCTGTGGCTGCGGGTGAGCCCGCGGGCGCAGGGCGCGCCGTGCGAGGCGGTGCGCATCCCCATGTGCCGCTCCATGCCCTGGAACATCACCCGCATGCCCAATCACCTCCACCACAGCACCCAGGAAAACGCCGTCCTCGCCATCGAACAGTACGAGGAACTGGTGGCCACTGGCTGCAGCCCGGTCCTGCCCTTCTTCCTCTGCGCCATGTACGCCCCCATCTGCACCCTGGAGTTCCTCTACGACCCCATCAAGCCGTGCCGCTCCGTCTGCCAGCGCGCCCGCGACGGCTGCGAGCCCATCATGCGCCGCTACAACCACAGCTGGCCCGAGAGCCTGGCTTGCGACGATCTCCCCGTCTACGACCGCGGTGTCTGCATCTCCCCAGAGGCCATAGTCACCGACCTGCCGGAGGGTGAGCACCCTGGGAGCAGCGGGAGGGCAGACCCCCTCTACCCCCGCAGTGTGTGTGTGTGTGTGTGTGTGTGTGTGTGTGTGTGTGTGTGTGTG